TTTTTTTTTTTTTTTTGACAACAAGAGCACACTGTTGACTCATACTCAGCTTGTAACCCCCAGGTCATTCTTCTCATGTTTGCACCTTCCATTCCCCTTTCCATCTAGCCTGTTAACTCCTGGCCTCTTTCCTTGGAGAAGGAAACTATAGACCAATCCTTTCCTCTACCCTGCAATGGTACCTGGAAAAATTTCCTGTGATGGTGTGAAAAGATTTGCTGCACAGAAAGTAGCTTCCACCCAAGGCAGCTTTGATTCCACCCCACCTGGAACCCAGCTCTTACCGGGAACGGCTCCGCTCCTTCTTGAATAACAAAGCCTTCAATGATGTGTGTTAGAATTTGGGGCTTCACAATAGCTTGTGGGGGTTTGGAGTCTCCTGTCTGCCGTGTCACCATTGCCAAGTTGGGGGCAGGAGTAGAGGCGGTGGTGGTAATGGACCCTGCTTCACTGGAGGGGGTGCTTGGGGTTACGCTGGGGGCAGGCTCAGATTTCTCTAGAAAAACACATAAATAAAAGTCACTGTAAGAAATCAGGCCACTGGACCACCCAACTCAGCAAGCCCATCTTCTCTGTTCTAATCTTGCTTCAGATAGCCTGTCTGTCCAGCCTGGCTTCCTGTTTGTTCCTATTCCCCTGCACAATATCAGATCAGACTCCTATTTCATCCAAAGCAATCAAAGCCCTTTGTATCCCACTCACCTCCAAGGCCACTCTTCTCCTCTATGTTTTTTGGGCTGTCTGCTACAGGAGAGGACTTGGCAGGCAAGAGTGCAGTGGCACTGGGTGACTCCTCCTTCTCCTCCTCTGAATCTGCCTTGCGCTTCACTGCTACGGTTTGCGGTTTGCCCTGTGGGAGAAAATAGGGAGAAAGACAGGTGAAGCACAAAACCTATCAAGGGCCACAGAGGAAATTCCCTACATTGCCTTATCCTTTCACCTCCTCCCCCTTCCAGCTCCAGCCTAGTTCCTTGTCATGGGAACACTTCAGACTCCCCACCACCATGTATCTAGACTGTCACACATTTGTCTAGCAGGGAACAAAACATTATAACAACAGTGTCTTCAGGAACATACCATCACCTTGCTGTACTACCCTGACTTAGCAACATCAGGACCCCAGCAACTCCAGGTAATAAACAAGGGACTCATATTGGCATACTGAAAAGCCAGCAAAAACCAGTGGCTTGGAACCTGACACATGGTTACCAAACTAGTTGGCTGCTAGCTAAACTCTGCTCCTCACCAAGGCAAGTGAAACAGCAGCAGAGAGCCTTTTCTTGTTCTGGGGCCAGAGACTGTTACATGAACTCATGGTTTCAAAAAACAGCAGCCAAAGAGTTGAGAAACACAACAGCCCAAGTCTACCCTCAGCAATATTGGTGAAACCCACAGGAAACATGTGATTGCAGTGGATATCTGGTATAATGAAAGGTACTGGTTCAACATGTGAAGCAGAGACATTGGCACCACTGAGACAGGGACCCATGCAGCCTCAGGGAATGAAAATTATGCCCATGTTTTTTCCTTGGAGGGACTCCTGGAAACATGGGTGCAGGTCATCAGGGAATCCTCAAGGCCCTAAAGCAGGCCCTGCTTTAGTGGCCGATAGCACAAACCAAAGGGTCCACCTCTAATGGGGAGTGCAATTTTGACAGAAAGTTCTCTGCCTTGGTGTTTGCTGAGAGACAACAAAAAAGCCAGTGAATGCTAACTGGGATAGTGGGTTTGTGATGGAGACACCTGCCTCATTTAGAGAACTGACACATGCCATGCATTGGCTGCATGAGAATAACTCACGGTCATCAACCATTTAGAACCAGAGTTCTAGAAAGGAAAGGCCCCATGCTACCTTTCCCAACTGCCCCCCATATCTTACTGGTCTAAGGTTCATTAGAAATGGGTGCCCTAACCATGAGCCAAAGGGGATGCCTCCAAACCCCACAGCCTCAGACACACACACTCCATCACTTACTGGCAACTGGACAGACTGCATGTAGAATGCTCCTGGCACCTGAGCCATGACTGGCGGTGAAGCTGTGTTCTTCACCATGTGCGCCGTGCCTTGAACTTGAGCCAAGTTGACCCCAGTAGTGAGGGGAGGGGCTTCCTGTGTGGAAGCTGTAACAGCGGATGCCTGGGATGATGGGGAAGCAGCATGGGCTTGAGAAACAGGCTGGACAACGGCTGGCATCCCCCGGGGAGCAGGCACTGCGGTGGTGATCTGAGCTAAACCCAAGGCCTGGGCTTGGGCTGAGCCCTGCTGGCGGCTCCCCACTACTTGCACTGGGATGTGGGGTGGGGGCTGCTGCGCTGCTGACATTTTGACAGCCCCCAGCTGAGGAGGTTTGATGGGGGCCACAGGGGGCTTGGACTGAATGGGAACAGGCGACTTGGTAGCTTGCTGACATGAGACATCCTGCTGGAGCTGTATGGGCTGAGGCTGGGACTGCAGCATGGGCTGAACCACAAGGGTCTGAGCCTGCTGCTGACTTTGAGATGGCAGAGCCTGCTGTGGCAGGGATGGCATTTGCTGTTGCTGCTGCTGGGTTAGAGGTGGTGTTTGTTGTTGTTGCTGCTGCTGGGCCAGCTGGAGGTGGGTGGCGGTATGGAGGAGCTGGGACTGGCGGTGCTGGAATTGCTGCTGGTGATGAATGGCTATCTGCTGCTGGATCACCACTTGCTTCTGCAGGTGAATCTGCTGTTGCTGCTGGATCAGCGAGTGGGGCTGGATCTGTGTGTAGGTGGCTACAGAGGGACGAGAATGACAGAGGATAGCATTAACAACAAAGCAGCAGCCCAGAGACAGGCAGACTGGAATATAGGACCCTTCCACTTCCACCAGGTGGCTTTCAAAACCTTGCTCTAACAGGAGCCACAACTTTCTGGCAGAAGATGGAAAGGCCCACAACTGTCTTCCCCTTGTCTCCCTGTGGGGTGACACTCCATGAAGAAGGGCACACTGGAAGGGTGGAAATAAGAAGGCTATGTAAGAAGCTCTCCCTGCTGGGTTTTAAGAAGGCAGTGCTGAGTGAAAAAGCTGGGTCTGGGAACTGAAGCAGAAGGGGGCAGCAGCAGAGGTGGAAGCAGGACTGTTGCTTACCGGAGCTGATCAAGGTCTGGCTGGGCGCTGGGGTAGCTGTCCTGGTCAGGTTCATGCCCACTGTTTGCTGCCCGCTGCCATCTGCTTCAGCTTTCTTTGCTGCTGCTGCGTTCTCCATCTCTGTCTGGCTTCCCTGACTCACTGTTACTCCCTGGGCAGCTGCAACTGGCAGTGGCTGAACCACCCCAGTACCTTTCCTTTGGCAGCTGCTGGCAGGGCCAGCTGAGTTTGCCTGGCCTAGACCTGCAGTGGCTTGGCTCCCGCCACCTGCCACCATACCCCCAGAGACACTGTTACTGCCTGCTGCCCCCTGACTAAGGTTGAGAGACTGGCCTGTACTACCGGAAGAGGCTTGTGCTACTGCCAAGGTCTGGCCAGCACTGGTGGCCTGTGGTAGGCTCGAAGCCTGGGAGTTTCCTTGTAAGGCTGCCTTCTGAGCAGAGCCCTGAAGCTGGGCATTAGTGGCTGAGGTCTGCTGGCTCCTCACAGCCAAATTCTGCACCTAGAAACACACAGAAAACACAGTCCGTTTGTTCAGGTCACCTTTACAGATGCCTATTGCCTCACAGTATGACAGAGGTGGGGAGCTGAGGAACACCACAGAAGATCCAGTCTGACTTCACTACCAGACTTGGTCCACAGACTCTAGATCCCCACACATAGATTTGGCTAGGACTGGGAGTGTTGCCCTCCTGACAGGACCATCTCTTGGAAAGAGTCAAACCTGAACTCCCTCTTGCTCCAGCTCTGATGGAAGTTAAAGATCCCATGGCACCTTCTGAATGAACCTAAGAATACTATTCCCATTGGAGAGATGATTCTTTTGCCACAAGCTGTGCAAGACTCAGTAACTCCCCTTTTACTTTTGAGGCAGACTCCCTGGGTACAGGGCTCTCCACTTGTGAGGCCCAGATCTCTCCTCCCTGCCTGCAGGCCCCTCAGATCTCTCCAGTTTATCCTTGCTCTTTGGTGTTCCCATCTTCTTCATTGATTCCCCCTCCATTGGCTGTGTTGTCTTCAAGCATGACGACAGTTGACTTTACTCAAAAAAAAACAACCCCACACAGGGCACCGAGACAGACTGGAGACAACTGCAGCAGAGGCAAAAAGGAGCAGAGGCTCAGCTGATCAAAACCCAAGCCTCCAGATATTCCAGGAGTAGTCAAGAAAGGCAAAACAAGTGACAGACCTGGAGGACCTCCTACAAAATAAGGCAAGGGATGAATCCCGGGGCCCGGTCAGTCTTTGGCTTCTTTAAGACTGACCAAAGGGGTAACAGGTTAATGCTGGCAAAGGCTCTTTGTTGGGGAGCACGTGTCCCACTGGAAACTGGCCCCAGAACCCTGCACTCAATAACATGGGAGTTGCCAAGCAATCATAAAGATGAGAATGGCTCCAGTGGTGGGTCACTCCAGGAAGTGAGACAGAAAATGTATCCTCCCTTTGGAGGCAAGACAACAGTGTGTTAACACATGGGCACGAGAGAACAAAGCCTGTGCCTTGCAGTGGTACAAGGGTCAGAAAAGGCAGGCAGAATGGAGCAAGCCCTCTACAGAGACAGACAGACTGGAGAGGGGTGCATGTGTGTGGGGGAGTGGAGGGGGCGGCACTGACCTGGTCTGTGTCTGTGTGGACCCCAGGAGACTGAGCGGGTGGCACCTCCTGCTGGACAGCAGCCACAGCCCCGTTAGGCATCAGGATGAGCTGGGAGGTAAGAGGCACATTGCGGCCCAAGGTCCGGTTCACCTGCAACAGGTTCCCCAGCTGCGGCTGTTGGGGGAGGGTTGGGTAGCGTGAAGAGCAGGAGGAGTGGAGGGGAAGAGAAAGAGCGAGAGAGAGAAAGAAAGCGAACCACAAGAGGATTACAAAGCAAAACTGGGCTGCAGCATTCCCGACCCGCCCAGGTGTTATGTTTTAGAGTATGGCCCTGAGGACCATGGAACTGGGGACAGCACTCCTGTGGGGAGGTGTTGTCTTCTAGAACACATGGGGAAGGAAGCTGGGAGGGCTGCCATAGGGTCATCCAGGACAACTAAGAAACTGGGATTTTATTTCCAGATGTCTGTCTGAGATTGGCAGAGAAGTAAGCACAACAGCAGCCCAGGATGATTGGAGAGAAGGGGATTATAAAACAGAGCCCCAGATAGGTTGAGAGGAAGGGAGTTATTTTTCAGATATAACACTGACCCTAGGGATGACCATGGAAAAAGTTAATTTTTGATACACAGCCTTACCCAGGATTGATTTGGAGAACGATGTACACCTTTCACACCAATGTCTCTTGGCCAAGCCTGAGTACAGACAACCACCATTTCTGAGCTACATACCTGAGCTTGGGAATGTCTGAAGAAATTAATTTGCCAGATAAATATCTGTTCCAGAACTGGTTGAGAGGAGAAGGCTTATATTTCAGATCAGTAACCGAGCCTGGGATTTGCTAAGAGGGGACCATTATTTTATGTGCACACCTAAGTCTAGTGAGAAGTGCCATGGGATCTTTGCCATTCATACAGAGCAGAGAAAACCCAGATCTTAAAAGTTTAATCCACTGACTCTCCCTATGCAGCAGAACATATTGAACTTAGTACATCCACTTTAGAAGGCTGAGTCAATCCTACTCTGGATCAAACCTATGGACCCAAGCACTAGAGATTTCCAATCTGGACTTAAACTATATCATATTATCTCTTAGTCAGCTACATCCAAGTCAAGGATTGATCTCAAAACAGGAATTTATTTTGGCAGTCACATAAGAGCCCTGGATTGTTTGAACAGCCAGGATTAGGTGGGGACAAGTTCTACATGCAATCTCTTACCCGGAGGTACATCTGGGCCTGCGATTGGTTGAGAGGCGGTGAGGTGGCATTCCCCAGGAGCACAGACTGCGTCAAGGTGGCGGTGCTGGGGGAGCTCACACTCTGCGAGCGGCTGATGAGTTGGGCAGCTGATGTGGTGGCTAGATTGATCTTCAAACAGAGAAGAGTCCCAAATCTCACTGGCAGAACTAGAGTCAGAGACAAGGCCTCTACAACCCAGCATGAGAGCTCACTCACCACAGCAAGATAGGAAATGGCACTCTAAGGCCAGGCCTTTCCCTGTTGCCTACAACATGAACTGGAAGGGATCAGGGAGACCACATCTATACCACAGAGCATGACTCACAGCCCCACTGTTTTCCTCCCTTAAGGGAGCAATACCTTGTTAGCCAGGGTGAGGAAAAAAACAGACAGGCTTCAGCACCAGCAGTTGTTCTAGGCCCCCTCATTAATGTCTAGGATCTCTTGCACTAAGCCCTGGACGCTATCTCCCTACATACTGCAGGTCTGAGCGTTAGCATCCATCACCCAAGCTGATGGACACCTGTGCTGCTAGTAAGGGGCTCCAACACCTCATGAGGAAGAGGCTCCTTTTCCCCACATGCTGCTAGCATTTCATGCAATTACACATTTCCAGCCTCCTCCCACCCCAATCCAATAAGCACCCCATCAATTCTCTGGCCATTTCCAGCCTCTTCAGTCCCACCTACAAAGCCTTGGCATGCTGACACCCAATGACTGCTCCTCCTGCTCTCCCAAACAGAAGCCTTCCAGCTGCTGGTCCTTCCCTGAGGCACAATCCCTCTGTCACCCCATTCTTTCACCATAAGAGATCACTTCCCATTTTCCTAGCCAAAGATGCCTTTCACACCACAAGACCTGAGACCTCTAGGTTCCCTAACCCTCATCCATAATGACAGTGCCCAATATTCTTGCTGTTGCCAGTTTGCACCCACAAGCCATGGCTTCCCACCATCTTCAGCAACTTTTTGCCCCTTGAAGCCTGTTCTCCAAAAGGGGAGAAGTGAGGAGGCAGAAAGGCGAGCCATGCAGGGGAGAGGGTGTTTACTTACAGAGGCCTGGGTGGTGGTGGTCTGTTGGGGGGTGCTGGTGTTGGGGGAGTTTGCCTGTCTGCTAGCTGCAATTGTAGCCTGGGAGAAAAGGAAAGATGAGAGTATATGAGCATCTAGAGTGGACCTCCCAATTCTATTCCAAAATTTAGCCAAGACTGAATAGCCAATCCCATCACTGATGCCATCCCAAACTCCTACAAGCTGGAGCACAGCCATGGCAAGTCCCTGCTTCCCCTTCCATTCACAACCAGGCACATACAGCAACTTGGCAGAGCTCCTCCTCTCACATCAGGTCTTGTACCACTTTATTGTTACCTGCTATACAAGCCTCCCTTGGGAATTCATTAGGGATGCTGCACTAAAAACACACCTGACACTAAATCAAAGCAGTGAAAACTTAGTACATGCCATCCTTTCACCCAGGCCAAAGACAAACACTCTACCATTCCCACTTCTACTTACAGCACATGCCACACAGCCAATCACAGCCACACTCTGACCAGGTCCCCTTGCTCCCCAGGCCAGTATTTTTGTGGATACTAGGTAAAGCAGTTCAATTTAGGTTTAGGAGAACTGGAAAGATGGCATCCATAGGGGATACATTTCAAATTAGGGTGCCTGTGGTCTGTGGAATACAGCAGCTGTTGGGCTGGAAGGAGTGCGCCTGCGGATGGAGATGGTATGTCCCATTATGTGAGTTGGCTTCTCAGTCCCTTGCCTTTGTGATTTAAGGCTGTTGCCCATTCAATGAACTCAGCATCAGCTGCTTCACAAACAGTTCAGCCTCCTTGGAGAGTACTTCCTATCCCACAAAACTGCAGTCAGGAACCTGGGAAAGTTCTCCCCCAAGCTGTGCAGCATGCAAGCAGTTACAAAGAGTGATACCTGACACAAGGTAAACTCATCAGATGGCTGACTGAGGCCATTCTGTCTATTACATACAATCATCTTAAGGGCAGGGTAACATGTGACAGAAAAAGTAGCTGTCTGTGAAGACTGTGTGTCCAATAGCCAACTACTGTGCAAATGCTTGGTATAAGTAAATAAACCTTAATTTAAAAAAAATGCTGCACCAGATCTATTCAAGGTTCATCGTTAAAAGATGTGAGTGGACACAAAAGCAGACTGCTAGAAAAAAGTGTTAGGCAGAAAGATACAAAAAATTTTCACTTGTAATGTGGAAAAATAAACTAACAAGTTGCATAGAAAAATTCAAAAGATGGAAAACCTACTCTAACATAACATTTCAAACGGAAAGACACAAGCTCACAAAACTCAAGTTGTGGCCCATTTTACATCCATCTCAAAATGTAACCATATCCGCTACCTCTACAAGATCTGTGTCTTATATAAGGGCAATGGCAGATGTTGGTAA